CATCAAGCTAATTGAGCAATTCCAACATTGTTCATTCTAATCGGGAAAATAATTTGTTTGGATGTTCAAAATCAGGTTTAAAATTGGTTTTCAAACCAGTTTATGATTAGAAATCTGGTTGGGTTTCAAAGCTAGGTTAAAATCATAATTCAGTTTTTTAAATTAATTTTAACAAAATAAATGATATTCAAATTTATCTTAAATGCAGACTTGTTTATTATTTTTAAATCTGTTTAAAATTAATTGATGGTAAAAATTCTTGTGAAACCAATTTGGCTTAAAAATCAATTTTAAAATCAGTCTAGTTTTAATATATATTTCAAATCATAAACTAGTTGAAAACTATAATAAATTCTAAAACCAATTTGAAATGATAATCAACTTTAAACGGATTTAAATTATTGACACTTGATCCTCTCTTTTTCCCTTGTTAACATCAAACGTAAGTATGCTGATGCGGTTATACCCACATATAACAAATTCACGAAACATATTATAAAATCATTTTCATTATATATAAATATAAGATATATATATATATATAAGAAATCAAAGAAATTGGAATAAAAACATTTATATGAACAAAACCTTAGGAAATAAACAAAAAGATTGAAAATAGAATGTACCAAATACATCACAGGCTAGAAATAATGTATTTTATAAATATGGTTAAAAACAAGCAACCAAAAAAAAAAAGAATAAAATACACATTCAAGAATTTCAACAAGAATGGTATTCTTGAGTTTCGATGGGTAAAAAATTACAACTTTTTCGAAAATGAAGAGCTTTTCAATTTAAATCAAGAAAGGATGCAACATTGAATTGTTCAAGAATGTTGAAGAACTTTGATTATTTTAGACCAAATCTGATAACCTAGAGCCGGAAAATAACGGAAAGCGACAAGTAGTTAGTCATACATATGTGTAGAAAGTAATTCACCTCAAGGTCAAAGATCATCCCCAGAAATTAGCACTCCAGTCATTTTGTAGAAAAAATAGTACAGATCAAATTAAACCTACAGAAAAACAAAAATGTCATCCGTACTGATATAATTAAGTAACTTTTAATCATGAACTTTGCAAATTAAATTTAATTTCAAATTACTCACATACCATGTGACAGAAAACAATTCTTGAATTCACCAAAGAAAAAACAACACACTTCTTGTCGAGATGCAAGATTACACACTAGCCTAGCCAGCAACCCCAAGTGCCAACACCTGGAATACAACGGAAAGGGGCTGGGGAAAGCTTGAACCCAATTCCTACAGTGATGAATATAAGTGCAATTAAAATGACTGTGGAGTTATTCATTTGTGTATTGATCATCATTGAAATTTACATACAGCGGATTAGAATCCACTGTCATTATTCTTGTTCTTGCATGCATTCAAAATCATGACCATTCAAGTTTGCATATGGCAGATTTGTATCCTCTGTCATCATTATTGTTCTTGCATGCAATCAAAATCAATAAAAAAAGAAAATACTGGTTTTGAAAACAAGAAAACGCAAGTTCAAGAAAGAACCAAACACAGAAAGAGGAATCAAAAACAGCAATAAGGACAGCAAAGGATCCAGTCTCTCATAGCACTCCAAACAGAAGAAAACAAAAACAGAGACAATCAGAAAACATAGAAACAAGAATAGTTCACTTCAAAATCAAAGAAGGAAAAGCAATCACAAGGTAAAGAAGAGAAAAGCAATATCAAAGAAGGAAAAGTAATCACAAGGTAAAGAAGAGAAAAGAGAGAGATGGAAGAGGTACAATCCATTTATGAAAGGTTCTACTTACTCTTTTCTGTGTTCTCTGGCTTCTTTGCATCGTCAGACTCTTATTTCTCTGTGGCCATTTGAACTTCGAAGGGAGAAGAACCCAAACGAATGATGACTGAAACAGAGTCACACAATGGTTATAAACTGAGAGAGAGCGGGGGGCTAGAGACAGCGAGTGAGAAATAAATATTATGTCAGAACAATTTCTCGCATTTATTAGTAAGTTAACAATTTCAAATATTTTGTTAAAAAAATTGGTAACAAAAATTATAATTTAATGAAACAATCCCTTTAAATTTTAAATATTAAATTCTTTTTATTGTTCTAATTTTGTTTATTTTAATATAAATAATAATATTTATTTTATGTAATTCAAATTTATAATTAATAAATAACTTATATTGTTATATAAAACTCTTTTAATCATAAATTTTTTAAAATATATAATAAAATTAAATTTAACAAATAACAATGATAAATAAATAAATAAAATAAGTGATTAAATGAAACTGTAACGACCCAGCTGGTCACTACACACTACACAGTACACCTGAAAACTGGACAGAAAGGAACAAGTGTATATATATAGTGTCTAGAATATACATATATACATGGCCCAAGTCTGACTAGATTCAAATGTACAAAATACATCAATCGCTACTACACCTAGTAGCTAAAACACCAAAACATCCACAAGAATCAAGCTCTATCTGCCAGCTGCAGACCTGTCGTAAGCCACCAACCTATCCCTGCTTTGCTCCCATACGTAGTATGATCATCGCAGTCCAAACCACATGGAAACAACAAGGGTAAGCTAGTGAAAAGAAACAACATACAAGTATATAAATTTATGGAGTGCTTCTTCACCATGCTCAACAATTCATACCTTAGGAAGACAAATCAGAACAAACTAATAATTACTAACAAACAAAAAAGGCGATGCAGGACAGTACCATTAGTTTATTAGCGCAGCCAAATTATTCTAGGAAAGAAAGTCACCGAAAAAAGAATGCACGATGCAACATCATGTGAGATTGCATTAAGCATCCACTACCGAATCATAATCATAAAATTGGATACCAAAGAAGCCACGGAAAAAGAGAGAGAACAATAACACAAATGTGATTTGGAATGTACCTTGAGGGGGTTTCGCCGCCATCGCCAAGCATCTCTTCTTAATTGGTTCCTAGAAACTAATTTAGCTTAGGGTTTATGGCCAAGATTCGTAGACTATGTGATACCAAGCTTCTCAATTTCTACAGTAAACGAGAAGAGAAGGAGTAGAGAAGTTTTTGTTTGTTGCGGTTTAACACGTTGCGGCACAGCGAGAGAGAAAATCTTATTTCTGTTAAATAAATGTTAGTACCGCTGAGTATTAAGTTGTCGTTGTAGTATAGTGGTGAGTATTCCCGCCTGTCACGCGGGTGACCCGGGTTCGATCCCCGGCAACGGCGACTTGTATTTTAGCCCTTTTTATTCTTGTTTCTTTCTAATTTTTTTTGTCCAAGGGGTTCCTTTTTCCAACTTCTTTTTTTCTAGATATAGTTCTCATTTTTTTTTTGCATTTAATTCTTTTCTGTGTTCTCTGGCTTCTTTGCATCGTCAGACTCTTATTTCTCTGTGGCCATTTGAACTTCGAAGGGAGAAGAACCCAAACGAATGATGACTGAAACAGAGTCACACAATGGTTATAAACTGAGAGAGAGCGGGGGGCTAGAGACAGCGAGTGAGAAATAAATATTATGTCAGAACAATTTCTCGCATTTATTAGTAAGTTAACAATTTCAAATATTTTGTTAAAAAAATTGGTAACAAAAATTATAATTTAATGAAACAATCCCTTTAAATTTTAAATATTAAATTCTTTTTATTGTTCTAATTTTGTTTATTTTAATATAAATAATAATATTTATTTTATGTAATTCAAATTTATAATTAATAAATAACTTATATTGTTATATAAAACTCTTTTAATCATAAATTTTTTAAAATATATAATAAAATTAAATTTAACAAATAACAATGATAAATAAATAAATAAAATAAGTGATTAAATGAAACTGTAACGACCCAGCTGGTCACTACACACTACACAGTACACCTGAAAACTGGACAGAAAGGAACAAGTGTATATATATAGTGTCTAGAATATACATATATACATGGCCCAAGTCTGACTAGATTCAAATGTACAAAATACATCATAAAAACAAAAAAGGATTTGATTTCAAAAATTAAATTAATATAAAGTTATTGAGTTTTTCTAAAGTTAAAATTAAGCCATCCACTTAATTTTCATAAATTTACCAATAAAAATTACAATAATAATTTTAAAGTTCAAACTCCATATCTTACATATATAATTTAATCCCTCACCATTAACTAGACTCTAGTAATTTAGGAGCTCTCTTATTTTATTATTCTTTATGCTATAAGTTGATTCGAGAACCATTTATTTAAAGTTTTAAAAAAATGATTATAAAATTATTTATTTCTTAAAAGATTGAAAGTTGCATATTTTTAAAATAATCAACTTAGACAAACATATAGAAAAATATTTGTTTTATTAATAAAAATTAAATAAAATAAATGGATCATTAATATATATATAGAGAAAAAAATTATTTTGGGCCAGTTTATGATACATATTAAAAGAATATAATAAACTTTATATTGTAGGCTTATAATAATTTCGAAAAACAGAAAGAAAAAAAAAGGCATGATCTTTTCTATAAGTTTTTCATTTTAAAAATTAATTTATTCCGGTGAATGATTATATTGGATTAAACATGTCAATTTAATTCAAATTCAGAATTTAAAATTTAAATCTATATGTAACCAAACAAGTTTAAACGACCCACCCACAAACTAGCTCAACCAAAATATCTACATGCTATACTCTATTACAAATAAAAGAAGAAAAAAGGAATAGCACAGTAAAATTAAAAAAAATTAACTAATTCTTTGTCTCACACTAGGTTAATTACACACATGAATACATTTCTAAGAATTATCAAATAATCTTTTCATAGATCTTACAGATAAAAAATAATTAGAGACATGTAATTTTCCATTATGTGATTTGAAGATAGATATTTTTATTTAGTGATGTAGTTTTATTTGCTATATCCTCTAATATTTAAATTAAAAAAATTTATTTAAATAAAGATATTTATAATAATAATTATTTAATAATAATATGAAAAGAATAAAAGTTTAAAGTTATAAAGGAAAGAAAAATAAAAATTTTATTGCAATCAAAAAGCTTAAAATTAAAGGAAAGGTTACCTTGTAGATATCATCGGTATCTACAATGGTGTAACGGTTTTTATCTTCCCACTCAGTTCTCTTCAAAGACCTTAATGGGAACTCTCTAACATTGCTCGACCACAAACATCAAGGGTGTTCCACCTCCCATAATGCATATCTGGGACCATTAAGGCTTTGGGATACATTTGTACAAATTAAAAAGGTATCAACTATTTTATGATAAAACACCTATCCATGAGACTAGTTAGAGATTAAAATGAATATAACAAATGCAAATAAAAAGAAAAAAAAAAAGGGGCATTATATAAGCATCAAAAAGCACTTGCTGTCTCAAGCTGTCGCTTCTACCTGCTCATTAGATCAACAGCATCTTCTTTTAGATAGTCTTTGTGGTGGACCATTAATGCACTAGTGACAGCTGCATGAAAGGGGGTTCATAAGAAAAGCTACAAAATGAAGGCTAACATGCATTAATAAATGACTCAAACATAATAACTCACTACCAGTAAAAAGAGCCACGTTGCCACAAGATAATCCCTTAAATACGCTAATGCAATAATCAAAATAGGTAACTCAGTACAAGCTATTCTATTTTAAAATATCTTTTAACTCAATAGATGCTGAAACATACTATTTGTGAATTAAGGAGGTAAACGCACAAAATCTTTAACTACTAAGAGGGTGCCCAGAACGTGTCGCATGTGAAGGATGGAAAGTAATTCTCCCATCACTCTCATATCTTAATACTCACTCTCATATCTTAATACATTTTACTTGATCAAAATTTCTTCTTTTCCTTTCTCTATTTTCGGAAAGCTTATATATTTAACATTCTCCATTCTTTGTCCTAAGATCTTTTATTATTTATTTATTATAAAAGAAGAAAATCATTCAAAAAAAAAAAAAAAAAATATATATAAATATATATATTCTCCTACCAAAACGCCATAAGCCCCAAAAAAATCAAGTAAAGTTTGTCAATCTATGTGTATACCTCAAATAAATGCCTAAAAAATGGCCATCAGCACAAAAAAGAAAAATAACTAAGATGAGTACACTTTGTCCCATATAACACAACAATAAATTAACCTTAAAATTATTTGATCCTTTATTTAAATCACGGTTATCTGACTACCCAGTTCCAACATACAAGGCAAACACAACTTCAAAAGGGGGTAACTTAACCTCCCCCTATCCAGCATAACCCCAAAACAAAGAAAAAAGCAGAGAAAAGACAACACAGAGAAAACAGTAAAGCATACTACTACGTAGTTCTTTTAGAGTTAAAAGTATATATAATCAAGATTAGATAACCTTTTCCCAGCTACGCTTATTCCCGAAAATTTCAATGAAACACTCCAAAATAGAAATTCTGATTAGTTATTTACAAAATAACACCAATTAATACCAAACGAAAGAAATTGAAAAGAAGTACAAGATTGAGTTTGACTTGTAGAGAAAGAAGAAAAGGAAAAGAAGAGTGATGAAAATGAATCAAAGAAAAATTTATCAACACTATAAACACTTGAATTTCTTCTTATATGACCCTATTTACATGACTTTTTTATTTTATTGTAAATTATAAAAATAAAAAACTAATAAATTGAAAAGTATCATTATCATTTGAATACTTTCTTTGTTTAGTTTTCTGAAAAGTATAAGTATTAATAAAATACATTATGGTATAAAATACTAGTTTGATACTTCTATAACACAAACATTAAAATAATATAAAAATAACGATATTTACATAAATGTTTACAGTTGAGTCAATTAGATATTTTCTTCTGTATTATTACAGTTAAATTATATGAAAATTTGTTATTCAATTACTCTATAAATTTGAATAAAAAATAAATTGTATATTCAATTTAATATACAAATTATTAAAATTATATTGATTAAAATTATCTTAATATAAATACATATTTTTAATAAGAATTTCTTGAGAAACATTTGTATTTCGAAAAGAAAATTATGTTAGATATTGCCTAAAATAATTATGGAGAGATTTGTTAATTTAAATTTGCTAAATATTGAAAAAAATAGAGGAAGGTTTTTTATGTGATTGTGATAAGAATTCATTTCAGTCATTGAAATAAATTAAATGGTCTAAAATAAAATATTACAAATAAATTTATCTGATACCTTCATCACCATATCATTTTTGTTACTAAGGGAGTTTTCCAAGCAAATAGGTTGGTGTAACAGTAGTGCAAAACACATAACCTTTCTAAGAGAGTTTTCCAAGCACATCGGTTGAGGAAATGAAAATCTATGAAACAGTTTTTTGTCGTTTTCTGTTTTCCTTCCACATATAGTAAGGAAGACTCTTATCCTCCAAACTCATTAAAAATCATAATGAATTTCTTCGTTTGCAAAATTAAATAAATAAATTACAAGAAAAAATTAGTAGTAGAGCTCGAAATAGTACATAGTATAGACTACAATAAAATTAGGTTCAAATCAAATAAATTACTGAACGACAATTTGTTACACATCAGGACAAAAAACAATTTAGACAATTGAGACTTTGAAGTTAGATGCCTCGTAACATATTAAACTAAGATGTTTGATGATAGATATATCTATGTTTCAATAAACAATTGATATACTTATACTCGAATGTTGGATTGAAAATAAAGCACTTGATACTCTTGTTCACATAAGTTTTGCCTTAAACACACATGGTGCACTTGACATATTTATCAAACATGGTCTTTTAGAAAGGATTGTTATGCCTGAACGCTTTAATTTAAAGGCCTACTTTTACAATGCCACCTTTAATCAATCCAAAAGCCATATTAAAATAGTCTAACGAGTAGCATTAGTAGTGGTAATACATATTATATAATGAATTATTTAATTAAATAAACCAACCCAACCAGCCTAAATGGCCTTTTAAGATAACAAGGATTTTAAAAAAGTCAGCCAAATTTTTTAAAATGGCAAGGTAATCAAGCATTAAAGGAGTCAAGCAATGGGTCCTTACAAACCGACTAGCCTGTTCCACCTGCACTCTAATGTACCCTTACCAAAATATAATCAAGCAAAATCATATAGAGAGAGAAGTCTTTCCAATTTCTTTTTTCAAGAATTCATTTATTACGAAAAAAGAAGAAGTTATTATCAAGGGATTTACATTTACTTAAACAGTCAAGTTATCCCAAATTGACAAGCTAGAATTATTGATTTGTCAACAAGGATAACATCTGATATTACTAATAATAATAAGAACAAAAGTCACCTACAATACCTCTCCAGCTCGTGGATCTGTAGACAGAATTCAAAGAAATCACAAAAAATTACCTAAATTGCAAACACGTGAGCATATGTAGTACGTTTTCACGCTTGCTAGACCTAATCACACAAGTGAAGTGATTGCTAGGTGGAAAAATTCAATAGTTCTATTCACATTATAAAAGATGTGCAGCAGGAAAGCAGGAATACCCGGAAGAATAGCTTGATCAACGCACACTTGATTGCTTAGCATCTCAATCATCCTCTTATCAGAGGGAACTTTACGCCTCACTATTTAATTAACAACCAGAACAGAGTTAACTTTCAGCTTTCCAGCTTTAAATAATCAACTAAACCAGTTTGTTTTAAGGCACTGCATAATCAACTGACCAGAAACTTCCACAATATTCCCAGGAACAAGGTCAGTTGCAGGAAGTATGGAAAAAAAACCTGCAAAAAATAGACTTTGCCTAATTCAAAATTTGTACTAGAACTTCAAGATGACAGTCTTTACAATTCAACAAATATCCCCATTGTATCATCAGAATGGACAGAAGAAAGTAATCGCACAAAATCTTTAATTACTAAGAGGGTGCCCAGAATGTGCCACATGTGAAGGACGGAAAGTAATTCTCCAGTCACTCTTTCATATCTTAATGCATTTTATTTTATCAAAATTTGTTGTTTTCCTTTTTCTATTTTCAAAAAACATATATTTAACATTCTCCATTCTTTGTCCTAAGATCTTTGATTATTTATTTATTATAAAAGAATAAAATCGTTCAAATGCAAAAAAAAAAAAAAAATATTCTCCAACCAAAAAAACATAAGCCCCGAAAAAATCAAGTAAAGTTTGTCAATCTATTTGTATATCTTAAATAAATGCCTCAAAAACAGCCATAAGCACAACAAAAAAAATAACTAAGAAAAGCACTTTGTCCGATTTAAGACAACAATATTAAAGAGAAAAACCCTCACCAGTAACAAAGGCAAAATAGAATCAGAAAGAAATGAAACAAGAAATTGAAAAGTAGAGAAGCAAAAGCAATACATAATTTCTACCTTCCATACCAGTGCGAAGAACCCTAATATTCATATCCAACGGTTGCTGCACCACAAGAAAAGAACAAGAATCAAAGACAAACAAGAATTATAAAAAAAATAAAACAACAAATTCAAAAACAGAGAAGCAGATGCAGAGCATAACATCACCTTCAATTTCTACCTTCCATCGCCACAAGGTCATTAGAGCGAGGAACTCAAATATCCATATCGACCGTTTGCCGCACCTAGCAAAAAATGAACAAGATTGAAAGAAGAGTGTTGAACAGAAAAATCCTACTGAGTAACGAAGACAACAACAATTAGCAAAAAATGAAACTACATCTTTAAACCAAAACGAATGACAACTAAAACAGAGTCACACACAATAGTTATAAATTGTGAGAGAGAGAGAGGGGCTAGAGACATGAAAGAGGAATAAAATCGAGCGGTGGAATCGACAGTGAATTCATTTAGTGGAGGAGAGAAACCTATAAATAGACCTAGACCTGTTTTGTCAAACAATTTCTCGTATTTATTAGTAAGTTAACATTATTAAATATTTTTTTAAAAAAACTGGTAAAAAAAATTGCAACTTAACGAAACAATCCCTTTAAGTTTTAAATATTAAGATTGTTTTTATTGTTATAAATTTATTCTAATATGAATTGTTTGATAAAAAATTATTAAAAAATGCTTTATTTATTTGAATTTTAATTCTCAAACTTTCTTAAAATTAATTATTGTTCAATAACATGAAAAAATAAGATATTTTTATGATGCTACTTATAATTTAATTTTTTTTAAATAAAATATAAATTTAATTTGATTTTGAATTTCTTATTTTATTATTGAATTTTTTATCCTCTAAACTTTAGAAATAAAATTTTGTTATTACAAATTTAAAAAATTTCACTTTATTTTATTAGGGTGATTTTGTTATGTCTCAATTTAATATTCTAATTTCGATTCATAATTTAATACAATATATAGTCTTTTATAATAATTTGCTTTTAAAAATTAAATCTTAAAAAAACAATTAAAAGAGATAAAAAGTTACTCTTACTTCTTGTACATTATCACTAAACAAAAATAAATAGATAAATAAATAAAAACATGTTTTAAGTAAAAAAATAGTATAAAATTAAATTTAAGATTATTTTTAATTTATAAATAGAAGAATACTTACTTTATTTTACATGAACAAAATACAATACATAACAATATGAGGAAAAAAACCAAAAATAAAAGAATGTGAAGATATTACAAATGCAAATATACATATGATATTATGTAACATAATTGATATATATATATATAATATAATATAATAATAATAATAAATTGTGACTAAATAGATGACTTGAGAAGATTAAAATCTTTGATAAATTAAATATAAGTTATATATTAAGTTTCATGCATTATTAGTGTTCTTTTGTATTTATTTTATATATCCATTTGAAGATTATAATATATTAATATAAAAACAATTCATATTTACAAAGTGGATATATTTATTCTATTTAAACTATTAATTTTGGTATTTTAAAAATACTTTTATATATATTTAAAACAATGTTGCACAAAAATTTTTCAAATGAGAAAAAAGTCAAACTTATTTTAATTGTCCAACATAAAATCATATTAATTTAGTAATAGTAAATAACAATTAAAATAAAGATATAAAGTAAAATTTTAAATAATATACATAAAATAATGTTGCACAAATTTTTTTTAAATGAGACAAAAGACAAGAAGTTACTTTAAATGTCCAACATAAAATCATATTAATTTTGCAATATATAAGTATTAATTACGTAACTAAAGAGTAATTTTAAAAATATATAAAAGGATAAATTTAATTTTATCAACTAAATTCACTACTTTGTTTTTAATCTTTAATGAATTAGATAATGATAACCTATATATACCTTCTAAGATACAATTTAGTAATACACATTTATTCCAAACAAATTTATGTGTTTATTTATAATCTAGATTAGACAAATACTAAGGAGCGAAATTTTAAAAAATATTAATTTATTTACAAACATAGTAACATTTTAAGAAAATAAAAAGCATAAAAAAACGTGTTAAAATATAATGATTAATGTGTTAAAAATATTAATAATATATGATATGATTAAATATGTTTTTAATATGTAAATAATTAAAGAAAATTATTTTTAATTTGTAAATAATTAAAAAAACTATTATATTATTTATCAGAAGAAGAATGTTTTCAATTACAATTAAATTATTTATATATAATTCTAAATATGTTTAATTTAACAAAAGTCATAAATCCTCTTACATCTTAAAGTTTTTCATTTTCAATAAATTTCAATATATAATAAAGAGTACTAGAAAGAAATTGTCAAAACACTCACCTTATGAAAAAATGTAAAAGTTTTATTTCAAAAATATAATAAAAATATCCTTTAAGATTGTCCCACTCAAGAGGAGGAAATCATTGCCTAGATTTCTTAATTAGAAAGAGTCCGAACTCAATTCATATTGTTTGTTCTTTCGTTATTTTTAGATTAATACATTAATTATAAATTTTTAAAGAGCATAAACTCTAATTGATTAGAAAAAAGTCAATATTAATTAAGAGAAAACTATTATACACATAGACTCTAATTGATTAGAAGATATATAAGTATTAATTAAGTAACTAAAGAGTAATTTTAAAAAATATATATAGGGATAAATTTATTTTTATCAACTAAATTCACTACTTTGTTTTTAATGTTGATGAATTAGATAATCTAGATTTAGTAATAGACATTTATTCCAAACAAATTTATATGTTTATTTATAATCTAGATTAGATAAATACTAAAGAGTGAATTTTGACATTAATGTAGCAAGATTTTCAGCTCAGATTCTCATATACATTTATATTGTGCAAATAATAAGCATTAAAAATAAGTATCACATGTGCTTGATAAAATAAACAACAAAAAAAAGCATACCACTGGAGTTGTCTAATCAGGCTCATTCATAATGCATACATCAAACCTCACATTGATAACAAGACTACAAACAAGTATCCATGACAACTTTGATCATTTTAGACCAAATCTTGGAGTCTACAACCATAAGATAATGAAAAAGAAAAAAAGGAGAATAGTTTTTTCATCCTATAATAGGAATCATGTATTTGCGACATTAGAGTCCTAGAAAATCATTTAATGTTCTTAATATACATACATAATTGACAATGCGGCACACCCACATATAATGCACTTATACACAGATAATAGATATCAAAATCAATGACAAACATTAAACATGAACACACATGATAGACATAGCCACACATAGTGAGTGAGAGATACAAAAACAAACACACATAGAAACACAAAAACAAACACATCCAAAAATAGAACAAATAAAGACAAACACAAAGACATGCCATGCTCGTAGAGACACATATCACACACAGAGACACATAAAGCAGCCATACAAACATAAATACAAGGAAAGAACAATTTAAGTAAATAATCCATATTTTTCCAATCAAACATGTTTTCATTTAGATCCATGGACAATGGAGAATAGATCATAGAGGACAACTTAAAATAAATAACATGCACATACATTATATTCCAGCAACATGGGGAGTAATATTTAATGATATGACATACAAAAAGACATTATACCATGTTGACATAGATATATGTGCTTTTAGTTTGATAACTAAATTACCAAAGGAGAATACGTATAGTTGGTTAGCAAAATGGATGTTCCTCTAAAGGCTTCCAAAGCATAGACCAATGTGGACATTTTCCTTGTTCCAGGCATCCACAACATAGACCACTTATAACTGCATTATATTTTGCCACAAGTAAATGAAAATTAATAACAAAGTAGTGTCACAAAAAAATCATTTTTTTTTATAGCAACTGGCATGATAAATTTAGAAAAGAAATTCAAGAAATTGCAACTTCAAGAAATCAAAGAGATTCTTGAAGTTAAGGACGCTAAACAATAGTTGTTGCCACCATCCATCTTTAATTAGAACCTACCACAATGAACAAATGGAAAAACAAGGGTAACAGAGCATTAACATTGAATTAAAGAATGTGAGAAACTTAAAGGTTGTTTTGACGGTGCAAGTTAAAAACCTTAAAAATGAGTTTGTTAAAAAACACTTATAACTGCCACTCATGCAATTCCTCCCTAACTTCCTTCAACCCCTTTAATGCGCTTATGACAAAACTCAGTTTTCTAACACAATGAGTTAGTAAGGCTATACAACAATCCATAGATATCATGCAAGTAGGGATTTCACAAGCCCTCTTCTAACTTCCAATACATTGGAATATAACCTTCTGGACTAGTTCTTTGGGTATTCAACTCCCACACGCTACAGGTTCTTGAGCTCTTTAATTTTAATTGGTCTACATCAATATAGAATCCAAAAAGTAAATGAATCCATGTAGGTTAACTTAATAGAGTTGAATATTCTAATGCAAGGTTATATGATATGTGTTCTAAATTTTATAAACTTACACACCATATGCAGGATTTCAAAGAAAGGAGAAAGTGAAAAACTCTGCAGTTGGGTCAAATCAAAGATAGAATTATTGTTCTGAGTCACCCTTTCCTTGTGAGTAACCATTAGTATAAGCCAAGTATGAAGAGATTTATGAAAGACTAGACTTAGCATCAACTTTCGTATCAAAAGAATACTAGGTATACAAGTAGTCTTGCGTACCTTCATATAAGTATATTGGAGGCCTGCTTAGTATCACTAGCTGCACACAAGTATATACAATAAGGAAATATAATCATGCAATTATATAAGATACTTAATAATTAGATAAGAATTTTATTAAGTATCCATGTACTCATAATTCATGTATATATTTGATCCAATATGTATATTAATTCTCTGTGTAAGGTACAAATACTCTGCCCAATCAGATCACTCCTTTAATAATGCTAATTATAATTGATACTATACATGCACAAAAAATTGTATTTAAGGGACACATAAGAAACAAACATACCCATATGCCTTTTGACAATAAGAAAGTGAATCTAGATAACTTAGCTGAAGCTTCTTGAGATTGTCTTTACATGCCTAAAAAATGTGTCCATGATTGAAATTCCAAAGCTGAAATCAAATTCAAGTGCAAAAAGTAAGGCAAAAAAAACTATCTTAAAATTAGTGCAAAAGTGAAACTATCCCAAGAATAAATTCACTTATGCATCTTGAATTAGACACAATCAAAGACTGTTCGTAAGATAGCACTGAACCAAAAGAAAATTAGGAAAATCCTTAACAAATCGCAATACACGAAGTCTTGCCATCTTCACTGCGACAATTTCACAAGTATCATACTGCTTCACTGCAAAAAAAATAAAAATAAAAAATTAATGATAATTTTTTATTGATGGCAACAATCTCAAAGGTCATGTTTAAGATTATTTATACATAAGGAGTTAATTTTCATAAACCATATGTGATTGGTTAA